ATTCACGGAGGCATTGTTATGAGCTCTGGGTATTCAGCTCAACTCGTGTAGACGTTGTGGGATCCAGGCCCTCAGCTGGATTCCTTGGTCTTAGTGTGTGGACAGATTTCTTGCACTCTTTTGTATACTGTTCTTTGGGTGACTTATAAATAATCATATAAAGTATGTGTCCTGTATTGTGTTGTTCCCCTTGCAAAATAAGTCCGAAACCAATACAGCTTGCCAGGCAAGTGCTGCCCTTGTGCCACTGAACTACATCCCTGGTCCTATTGGCTTTTGTTATTACAACAGCTCTCAACTGATTGGTGATTCTGTGTTGGCACTGACTTTTTTTCTCCTCAAGTTGTATTTAAAATGTTCCTCTTGACTTTGGCTTTTAAAGTTTTATTATGATATTGCTTGGTATGCATTTCTATGCATTTACCTTGAAATTCTTGGCAAATCCTGAATCTGTGGGTTGATGTCTTTTCAGCTTTGTAAAACTTCCAGACATTTGCCCTTGAATTATTTTTTCTCTCCTTTTTTTCCTCCTCACATGTAAGTTAGTACATAGAAGAGACCTATTCTCTGTGGTTGACATCTCCCTTATGTTTTCTTTTGATATTCTGCTTTAAAAAAATCTGTCTGTAAAAGTAGATATTTTCTGCTGTCCTGTATCCAGTGTGAGTGTCCATACTAGATTCCCCATCTGGTCTTAAGCACCATAAATGAATTCTTAATTTTAGTAATTAGATTTTTCAAATACAGAATTTTCCTTCAGCAATTTTCTTGCAAAATTCCCTTGCTTCCTATTTTCTAGTTTTGAACCTGTAAATCAAGTTTATTTAAGTAAATTAATGTATTCATTCATTTTTGAGACAGGATCTCTCTTCCTTGCTTAGGCTGGACTTGAACTCTTGGGCTCCAGAGACCTCCCTGCCTCAGCCTCCCCAGTATCTAGGACTACAGGCATGCACTGCTACACTCAGCAATGTTATTTTAAATTGTGTGACTGATAATTCTGATAGATGGGTTCCCTCAATGCCTCTCACTTTCCCCTCTTTCTTTGTCTTGTTTCTGGCATCCTGTTTTGCTACTGAATCACAGACATTGTGTTTGTAAGAAAAAAATATAGACGTTCTGGCAGCTTTTCCCCACCGGGAGCATTTCCTTTTGCTTTTCTCTGTTAACCTTTGGTGGCCTCAGCTGAGGAGATGGAGTCTGTGGGAGCCTCTTCCTCCTTCTCCACGGTCTCCAGCTTCCCAGCCCTGTGGGATTCTGAAAGCGCTGCTTGGCTTCTTCTCAGCATCTCACTGCTCTTTCTAATTCCTGTCTCATAAAAACTGCAGCTTTTGAGTGGGCAGAAGTCCTATAGGGAAAAAATAGGGCTAAACAAATCCTTTCTGTTTTCCTGGATGCTTTGTTAACCCCAATTCCAATGTTTGGTCTCTCCAGCTATTTGAAAGTGCTAGAAACTTAACGTACCATCTCCTCTTTGTCCTTCAGTGTTGCTCTGTTTGTCAGCTTCTCAGTCAGCTACTAACCCACCACTGCCTGGGGCGAAAAGAAAGTACAGGACTGGGTTCCTCCATTGTGTTACTCTACTTCCTAGGACCTTGGCCTTTCAGGTCCCAAATATCCTGACGGGATTTTGCTCTTCCACACAGCTTTTTGTGAAAAAAAGCATCCAGGTTTTCCAGCAGTTTTTGTAGGAGAAGAGGTCGGATGTAAACTCATAGCTAGAAGCCAAAGTCCTTGAGTCTCTTTGTTCTACATGTTGATTAATGAATGTCCCATATAAATCCACAGATCTCTTCTTTATCTGAGGGGTGTGCTTCCCCTCTTATTTTATTAAAACTCCTTTTTGTTCTACAGAAGTATTTCATAGATTTGTTGCCAAATCTATTAGTCTTTTTTGTAAGACTTTGAATAAAAATAATCCCCCTTTTATTGTATTTTTTTCTGTTTGGTTTATTTCATTTAAATTTAATTTAAAAATTTATCAAAATTTAATTTGGGAGTATGGAATACTATCAAACTCTTAATTGTTTCCCAGTTATTTAACAACCAGGTAAAATGTGTTCCCTACTTACTGCTTTGAAATTCCACTTTTTCAATGTGGGACATGTAGTATTATATAGAGTCTGATTCTTTTCTGAGCTCTCGTTAATCTGCCACTACATCGCTAATCTGCTGTTTTCCTGACTGAGCTGTAATAGTCATTTTACCATGTGTCACTTGAATACCTTCTCTTTTTTTTTTTTTTTTTTTCCTGAACGGGGAACCGAACTCACAACCTTGCACTTGCCAGGCAGGTGCTGTGCCACTGAGCTAAATCCTCAGCCCCTTGAGTACCTTCTCAATGACCTTCTTTGCCAATTTTATCATGGTGCCCCCCCCATGAGGTCTTTGCCATGTCAGAAGGGTTTCCTACCTGGATTAAGCAGTAACACTGGAGATACTCAATACAGACGTGTTTAGTTCTATCAGCCACGGAGCTTAAAGGATTTGGAGGTTAGAGAAGAATTGTGTTTCACATGACTCTGAGCCTTCAGGCCTGGAAAACAGAAAATGGTCATATCATTAACTAATATTGGATATGCAAGGGACACAGATTTTAGCTGATGTTGACAGTGTGCTAGAGTTACCTGTCGAGAGAAGAGAAGCCGGGGTAACGCAGGTAATTGCAAAAGACTGGTGACATTATGAAATCTTACTACCATTGGCCAGTAGGATAGAAAGTTGACTTGGGGATTTGTTTTTTTTGTTGTTGTTGTTGTTTTGTTTTGTTTTTCTCCGGTACCGGGAACCGAACTCACGACCTTGCGCTTGCCAGGCAGGCGCTTTTGCCACTGAGCTAAATCTCCAGCCCCCTGGGGATTTGTTTTTAATCATGTGAAGGGGCTGGGGATTTAGCTCAGCGGCAAAGCGCCTGCCTGGCAAGCGCAAGGTCTTGAGTTCGGTTCCCGGTACCGGAGAAAAACCAAAAAAAACACAAAAATCATGTGAAATACAGTTTGGAGGAGATATCAAAGAGGATTCACCGTAGCGCTTGTTCTAATGAATGCTTGATTTTTCAGGAGCAGTCCTCAGTTGTCCTTTCCACACATCAGCCATGGGAAACACTTTGTGAAGCTGCAGACAGAATTTGTGGTTGATTGCGGAGCCTGACTTAGGGAGACAGTGAAGTCAGATCAAGTTTGGGAGATTTGGGAAAATCGTTGCAAGTGACACAATAGAAGTTCCTGATGAAAACCACTCTAAATGCTGGTTTCTAAAGAAAGACTGTCAAGCAGATTCTTCTAATATCTAATATAATTATGAGGAGCAGAAAGAGTGTGCTGAGCTCTGTGTCAAAGTCAGACAGTGTTTTCTTCCTAGGTCAGCCACTAGAAGGGCCTGATGCGAGCTGGGACAACTCCAACCCTCTATATCTGGCGGTGAGCCCTGCAGTCTGAGGCCAAAACAGTCCACTGGAAAGGGTCTAGGGGCCAGGTTAACAACAGAATGGGCAGCTTTTGGCCTCTTTCTTTCTGTACAACCCAACTTTCCTTTACCTATCCTGACAAAGCTCAGAAAATATCACTTTGATTTGTGTACTGAAGTTCTAAAACACTGCTAGAATTAAACCCAAAGAGCAGAGAGAAGCAGGTGTTTAGGGAGCTGGCTTTCATAAGACTCTCTCAGCTGTTTCTGCTGCAGGCATTTTAAACCCTAAAATTAAACCACAGGCTCAGGAGTGTAGAATTTTGGTCTTGGAAGAAATGTACTATTTACTTCTACTTTTTCTCCACTTAAGAAATGAGACCAAGGAAGATGGGAGAAGACAAGGCTGAAGCCCACCTGTAATTCAAAAGCAGAGTCGAGCCCAGGAAACCCTGGCTTCCTAACAAGTGATCTAAATACTTTCCATCACAGCGGGGCCCTTAAAAAACCCATGCACCTCACTCTATTAATTACGGCATCCCTTGGCATTTGGTATCCTCCCCCACCCTCTTTGAAGATTCAGCAAAATTTTCGCTGTGTAAGAATAAAAAGTGGTTTCCATGCTCTCTCCGGAGCATCAGAGTTCCAAAATGAGCTGACACAGAGCACTTTTGGAAACAAATTTAATATAAAAGCACAACGTATGCAAATAAGGCACAAAGGAAACTTTAGGAAGGGGCTGGAGAGATCATGAATTAGTGCGGTGCCATTTTTAAGAGGAGCCTTCAGCCCTCCACAGCTTCTCCCTCCCTAATGAACGAGCCCCAGGCCCTGGAGCCCCCTGCCGTGGCTGTGGGTGCCCACCCGACCAGCAAAACCCAGAGGGAGCTCCTTACCTGTTCTCACGTTTTAGGCAGTGTCTGCTCAGCCACACTCACCCCGCCCCCATCCTGTTCTACTTGGGTGTCAGAAGGAAATGAAGCCACAAGGAGAACAAAAAGAGTGGTGACACCTTTTGTCTGCTGCCTTTTCCTTCCTCCCTCTTCACCGTCCTCCACACATCCAGCTGCTTCAGCCTGGTTTGGCTGCAGTGTGATATCTGCCCGCCCCAGGAGGAGTCATGTGCGAGGACTGCAACTGCCAACAAGCAGTCATACCCAGAAGCCACGCGCTGTTCTAGGAACCAAGGCTCGACACCGCCCAAGCCGGAGCAATGGCATTGTCTCTGGAACAGTTTGTCCAGTCCCTTGACCTCAGGACTCTGCCCAGGGTCCTAGAAATCCAGTCTGGCATCTATTTTGAAGGTAAGCTCTGTCTTAGTCCTTCACTGGCTAGAAAATACAGTTCTTTGGAAGTCCATACACCTGGGAATTCTTGTGGGAATTTTAATAGAGTGTGAATTATGTAAAGGAAAAGTGATTTTTTAAAAAAGTAATTAACTGAGAAGTGATCTAGACCCAAGAGTGCTGAAGAAGAGAGAAATTAGGTAAGGTCTCTGGGGTGCCTGGAGGCCGGAGATAAGCACTGTGTGAAACTTGTTGGGATTTTTGTATGCACCCAGTCATTCATGTGGATGGTCAACGGCTTCTACGTGTTTTTTGGAACTGGTTGTAATCAAAAGCAAAAAAGTATTAATATTTGCTTCTAGAATCTTAAAAGGTCTTTTTCCTAACAGAAAAGCAATCTTCAAGAGCACGCTGTAGAAGGTAGTGCTCCCCACGGTTTTAACTACTCCGAAAAGTTGCTTAAGCCAACACTTCTCTTACTGTAGCTGCAGTCGCCTAACTCTTCATTCTTGAAGTGATAACATTTTCAACTTGGAAAACTTCTGTTGCGGGGCAGCCAGCACATGACTGTAATCCCAGCTCTCTTGGAGGCTGAAGCAGGAGGATTGTGGTATCAGCACCAATACAAATTTTTTAAAAGTTAGAAAAAAAGAGAGAAATGAATGCTTATTCATCACAAGAGAATTAAAAATCTATGTTGAAAAGTCTTAGTTCAATTAAAATTATTGAATATGTTGGTAAATTTTGGTGTAATTCAGGCAACAGATCTTTGAAAACTCCAATATACAGCCTAGAATCTTTAAGTGCATGACTGGATATGTGCAAGAAATGGAGATCATTTTCTAAATAATTATACACTCTTGTTGCGAAGAAAGGTAGAATTGAAGCAATGATGGAGTCAGATCCAGTCAAGGTACTGGGAAAATAATTTAAGAATTTGGTAGGTAAGGCTTTCCTGTTTATTAACAGTCCCTGACATACACTGGTGTGAAAGTGGATTTGCACACCCATTACATTTTCCATTTTCAGTACAGTATTCAATAAATTGCATACTAAACACTTTATTATATAACAGGCATTTTGCTAGTGCTTTTGTCCAACTGAACACTAACCTGAGTGTTTTGAGTATGTTTAAGGAAGGCCACGCTAAGCCATGATGGTTGGTGGGTCAGATATATTAAGCATATTTTATATATATATATACATATTTAGAAATCAATTAAGTTCATAAGAAATTCAATGGTAATTCTCATTGGATTGAATGGTTTTACATATTAACTTGGGGATAAATTACATCTTTTATTATTATTCGAAACACACGTGTTCAGACCATCTTCTTCACACTTTATTATTGTACTACTGTGTTACAATTGAGATTGGTTTTTACAATTTAAGCACATCCATAGAGCCATCACTCTAGTCAAGAATCAGAAAACTACAAATGTTCTAGAAGCCCCATTTTATGCTCTTTTTCCATTGTTGTGCAGGTACTCCAAGCTAACCACTATTATGACTTTTATCTATTGATGAGGTTATAGAAATGGAAAGTTCTTTTATGTATTCTTTTATAGTTGGCATACGTATTTAATGTATTTGTTAAGTTAATCACTGTTCTGCATAGTTTATTTATTTCTGGTGTATATCACTTTCTGTTGCATACTACAATTTACACATTTTACTGCTAGTGAGCATTTGGATTATTTCCAGGTTGAATTTGTTACCGGTAATGTTATCAGGAACACTGTTTACATGTATTCTCACATGTATATGCATTCATGTGGGTAATGAAAAACAAGTTTCAAATTCTAATTAATCTGTAGGCCCAGTAACAGTGTTATCAGTCTTTTTAGTCATTCTGGTAAGAGTATAATGGAACCCTATGGTCCTAGGATCTCTGTTATGACTAATGAGTCTGAATGTCTTTTTATGCACTTTTTGGCTAGCTGGAGGGGTACTTGATAGATAATATTCTTCACAGCTCTTTCTCATTTCTATTAGATTTTATAAATTTTTATTAATGATTTCATGAAGTACTTATAAAACAACCCTCTATCCATTACGTGCATGGTAAACATCCTCTATGGTGTATCTTGACATTTCATCTTTTTAATGATTACAAGTATCAGTATTTATTACTGGTGGAGATTTCACTGTGGCGTTTCCATACATGCATGTATCACGCTTTGATCACGTCCTCCCTCCTTTTTTCTATTGCGTGTTGCCCTGCTCATTATTTAATAGCATCCTTTGATGAGGGGAAGTTTTTAATCTTAGTACCCAGTGTGGTTAAGCCATAGTTATATTCCATTTTGTGTGGTATCAAGCACATTTTTCTTTATCTTAAGTTTATGAAGATATTCAACATTACCTTCTGGAAATTCTATTATTTACTTTTACCTCCAGATCCACAGTCTACCTGGAATAGATTTTTTTCTATTTGGCTTGAAACTGAGGCCCAGGTTTATTATTTTCTTACACAGAGCCATCTGGCTTAGTGACATCACAAAGCTGTCTTTTCCAGTGCTTTTCCAATGACCATGTTACCTTAGTCATTAACAGTGCTCTTGAATTTCTGGGTCTCTTTTAACAGCATGTGTGTTCCAGTCATCTAACTGCTATGCATTGTTGTTATTGTTATTGTTGCATTAGTGATGACACTAAGGGGCCTTGCACATGCTAGGTAAGTGCTTTACCGTGGCCCTTTTTAAATTTTATTTTGAGACAGGGTCTGACGAAGTCACTCAGGCTGGCTTCAAACTTGCCATCCTCCTGCATCAGCCTCCCAGGAGCTGGGATTACAGGTGTGTGTTACTGCACGAGCTTAATTGCTATCTTTACACAAATTCCTTCTTGCGTTAATTAATGCTAATTTTCAACAGTATATAACATTTAACTTGTACTATGTTCTATATAATAATATGCAACAGATTTTGGGTCTTCAACTTGATTGCACATTTGAAACACCTGAGGTATTTGTAAAATACAGATGCTTGTGTATCTTCTTAAAGGATAAAGATCTAATTTTGTAAAAGGGAAGGTGTCATCATCAGCTTTCTAAAAATCTCCCAGATGATTTTAAAATGAAGCCAAATTTGAAAACTACTACCATAAAAATAAGGTCTCCAGTGCATTATTTTTCTTCAAGTTTAGCTCTTTGAATTTTCATATACATTTCAGAATTAACTTATCAATTTTCACAGCACTCCTCCTGGATTTCTGATTAGCAGTACACTGGTTTGGAGAAAATTAACATCATTTTAAATTAAGTCTTCTGATCCGTGAACTGGGTATAGCTTTCTAGTTGTGTAAGTTGGTTTTTTTATTTCTGTGAAAAATGTCTTACAGTTTTTGTAGAGATCTTGTACTTCTTTTAGATTTATTGTTACTTGATTTTTTATGCCATTAGTAATGACGTCTTTCTACTTTTCATTTTCTCTGTTGCATTTGTTGAATGTTAAGGATGTATCTTTGGATTACCTTTTCGAATACACATTCATATTGCCTGTGAATAGTGATGGATTTTGTTTCCGTTTTTCTAACAGCTGTAGTCTTTTTTCTTCTGGTAAAACACTGGCTAGTGTCCCCAGTGTAATATCAGCTGGGTTAGGATGGAAGACCTCTAGTCTCATCCACACGCACTGAAATTCTCAGCAGTTCATTATTAAATATGTTCATTTTAGAATAAAGAAGTTTCTAATGTAAAAATGCTTTGAATTATTTCTTCAATTCTTTAAATTGTAATGTTGTCCCATTCAGAAGCACAGTTTATTTTTTATTTAAGAAAACTAGACATCTTCTACAGTATTTAGTGCTAAGGTTCTGAAAATATCTCTGTAGCGACCTTATATACTCTGTCTACACTAGCTCCTAGAATGTACATACATGATATGTGTATTACTCTACTTACCCAGCGGTGGATTTCTTTTCTCACTTGTTAGCACTCAAGTAGAAAAATGCAGTGAATTATTGTCAGCATTATTCATACATTAACTATTTTATGAATCTTACTAGTTATTTTATTGTTTCTCTTAAGTAGATATTGATATCATTAGAAATCCTCAGGAGTTGTGCTCATTGCTGTGAATTTCGGTATTTTTCTTACCTTTGTACTATAGGCTGGTGCTTCTGGTACTAAGCTAAGCAATCGTGGCAATCGTGTATTATTCCTAAGCACAAAGAAAACCATTTAAAATTCCATCCTTAAGTGTAATGCTTTTAAGTGTAGTTCTTTAGTAGAATTCTTGGAATTCAATATAGGCATTTGCAATTATATTTAATATTTTTGCACTAATCATAATTAAAATAAACCAATAGACTCATCTGTTTTGAATATAAGATAATATAATTTTACTGAAATGAGCTACATACATTTTGTTGTTTTCTACTTTTTGAAATAATTTTCTAAAAATTGACCTTGAGTTCTTCCTTAAAATTTGATCAAACTTTCTTACAAGTGTCACTAAACAATGAATTTTTTGAAGAGAAAAAGAGTTTGATTTTATTAGTATTTTATATTGTATTTTGTTACTTTCACTGATTGCTGGATTAATCTTTCCTTTTTATCTTTCTATTTTCTTTCTTACTCTTTTTCTAGCTACCCCTGTTGACTCTGTAGACATTTTTAAAACTTTTTTTTTGCTTCTTGATAAATGCATTTAAAATTAAACATTTTATAAAGATTTTTTTCATTGTTCCTCATAACTTTTGTCATGTAGATTTTTTATTACTCAGTTCTGATTGTAATTTCTTTTACATTCAGTAGCTATTTATTGGTTAATCATAGAGGATTTTATTTAACTACCCTTCACTTTTAATTAATTTTATTGTGTTTTCAAAATAAAAATAGAATGTATTATAGGGTTATAGAGACTTGAATAAGGTTCTCTTTGCTTTGTGGTAGGAACCATGGCTTACTTTGAAGCTTGAGGGAAGTTGAAAATAGCTAACTTCAAGTTATGTGAGTTCTGAGGTACTGAATTGAATACTTAAAACTGGCAACCACATTAGCAGGCTACATG